AATAAGGTTCAAGTTCGGAAAACAATACCCATTTCATAGTATTATAGTTGCCCTTATTTTCTATATATGTATATATCTGAAAATTTTTCAATTTTTAAATACTTGTGGGGGATTATCTAAAAAAAAATAAGGAAGTTTTTAAAACTTCTTATTGTTTTTAGGGCAAAATTCAGTTTACCCCCTTGTGATTTGGGTGTTTTACACATGACCCCCCTATGATTTAGAAATCAACACATTATCCTCTTGTGCTTTTGGACTAAAACGCTTCCGTTAGTTTTTTCGTTAGATTAAACTATCTGTGACACACACGCGCCTAAAAGGAGATTTGACATAACAAAACTTTTTTCCTCCAAAAATAGACACAATAAAAGTACAATAATATCCTTCTTCAATCTTCATCTTCCTGAATAGTTGACTATCATATTTTTTTCTCAAACAATTCACTCCAAGCACCGTCTGCTTATCAAAATTTTTAACAACAAAATTTTAAAAATTAAAATTAAGTGGTTGATTCTTAACTATGCACAGCTCAAGTGAAATTCATCTTACCACTCAAACAATAGGAATAACTAATGGCTAGAGATTCAATAATCATGGTGGGATCGTCTTTATGTGCAAGAAGGGGTGTGGCTCTAATGCCGTTGTTGGTCGCGACGAGGAGAGCCTCGGAAGAGGGGGTTTGAGCAGAGAGGAGAGGGCAAGGGAGGAAGGGAGGGGATAAGATGGAGATATACCTAGGAGGGCTGTTTGGCGGTGGGTTGCCAATAGTGGCAGAAGGGTGGTGAGAGAAAGGGGCAATGAGGTTGTTACTTAGAGAAAGAGAGAGGGGAGAGGGGGTTGCAAATGGAGAGAGATGATGAAGAAGAGAGAGATGGGGCAGTGACATTGCTGAGTTAGAGAGAGAGTGAGAGAGAGGCAACAAGGTGTATAGTGAGAGAAAATTAAAACTCTTGTTTAAGCTTGAAACTTGATTTTTTGGGTATTCAAAATTTCGAGTTTTGGATGTGAAGGGGGCCCTAATCCACCATTTTTAGGGTAAAGAATACATTTTTGAAGTTAGAATCGAGAAAGAATGAGGTTTGGTGGGTGAAAAATTGAATTAAAAATCGTGACAATTTTTGAAAATGATAAACCCGTCACTTTGGAGCTCGATTTTTCACTTACCTTGTGCATGATTTGGACAAACTAAATACATGGTTAGAAAGAGGGTAGAAAGAAATTAAATTTAGACATTTGAATCACCCAAAAAGGTTGAGAAACGAGGGAGAAATTAAGAGTCAAAGTTGGCCCAAATGTTGAAAAAAATCTAATATGTACATAACTTGTCAAAATGAGTTTGTGATCATCTTTGAGCTTAAATTCATGGGTCATGGGGGCTATTTAAGGAAACAAGTCCGTGGGGTTTAAAACTAGGTTGAGAGTGGGGGATATTGACATTGGTTTGAGGAAGTTTGGTACTTTGTGGAGAGAGAGAGAGAGAAAAAAACTTGTAAAGTTGGGTGGTTGGTTGATTTTTCAAAAAATTAGGCAACAGTTGAGAGGGAGGAAGAAGATGATGAATAGTTAAGAGTACTACAATCATTTTACCACTTCTGTTTACAGTGTTAATTGTGCATATCAGTCCAAAAGCATAAAGAGGTAATGTGTTAATTTTCAAATATAAGGGGGTCATGTGCAAAATACTCAAATTACAAGAGGATAAACTGGATTTTGCCCTTGTTTTTAAGACTATTTTATTAATTTTAATTCATAAAATATTAAAAGATAAACAAAATAATTTTTATTTTTCGCGGTTAAAATCGTTTTAAATTTTACTTTAAAATTAATCTGACTGCTAATATTAACTCCAAAAATTAAATAAGAAAAATAGATACCCTAATGATGTGTTTTGAGTGACTTTTTAAAAGTACTTCTAAAACCTATAACTTTTCAAAAATACTTTTAAAAAAACAAGTGTTTGAAACCGTCTCACCACCACAACTACAACCACCACCCCCTATCGCCCCCACCACCATTATCACCGCTATCGCCACCCCATCACCACCTTTGCTACAACCACCACCACTGCCGCCACCCTTATCACCATCGTCACAGCCCCACCACCACCATTGCCACCGCCGTCATCCCATTACCACCTCTGCCACTACCACTATCACCATCGCCATTGCCCCACCACCACCATCATTACTGCCACCGCTGCCACCCCCCACCACTATCAACACCGCCCCACCACCACCACCACCCTCCCCATCATTACTATTATTGTCACCACTGTCACCACCATCACCACCGCCCACATCATCGCCATTATCACCACCACTGTCACCGTTGCCACCCCACTACCATGATCATCTTATTCTTATATTTATTACCACTAATACCATCATCTCATCACCATTGTCACCCACCATCATCATCGTTGCCCTTCACTACCCACCGTCAACTACTACCACAACCCACCACCACTACCAACCATCATCACCACTTCCAACCACTATCACTGTTGCCCACCATCACCACCACCCACCACCACCGTCGTCACTTATTCCTATTATTATCTCAATCGCCACCCAAAACCCACCACTACCATCAAAGAATTCAATTCAACATTCATTTGCATATAATTATACTGTCTATTATAATAAAATAAAATAAAAATCAAATAAATGTTCAAACTGTAATGAACACAATACATTTTATCTCTAATTAAAGATAATTTAATCGTTTAATAGATTTCGTTAGTTCTATAACTAATAAGGGGTCTAAGTGTGATATTTTAAGCTTAAAAAGATTTAAGTGTTACGCGTCTATAAATTTTAAGGAGTTTGAATATAATTTACTAATAGATATACTAGTGGAAATTAACGGCAGGTGTCTAAGTATTACTTGCATAAAAATTTCAGGAGATCTGTGTATAATATTATAAATATCAGTGATCTAAGTAATTAAGTGACAAATTATAAGAGATTTAAATTTAATTTTTCTTTAAAAAAATGATGATAGCTTGGTGGACAACGTGGCCCACTTGGGGACCACATGAAGAAGAATACAAATTGTATTCAAATTAGGTTTGTTGGCTATGAAATCTAAAGTGGTGGAGAACCGGAGGTGGCGGCTAAAGAAAAAAACAACACAAGCTTTTGACGAAACCGAGAAGAGAGAAAATTTTGTTGTTCGCGTGGATCTTTTCGAGCCAAAATTCGTATAAGTAGTCGATGTTTAATTTTGATGAAATTTTAATATGTTATTCGTAGTGACCGAATTATGCATTGATAATTTATTTTTTAAAAATCTTTTCAAATTGATATTTTGCAAGATTTAAGGGGTGAGATATTTTTTTGTTACTATTGTTGATAATAATCTTCGGATAATAAATTGTTGATGTTTTGATAGTCTTTGGTAACAGTTTTGAAGAGGATCGTTGTAATCCCATTATTTTAATATAATGGAAGGTTAAAGATCGAATTTCACTATAAAAATTTTTGTGCCTTGCTTCTGGTTTATTTTCATTGTTTGTTTTAAATTTTCGTTGATTGTGTTTAGTACATTGCTTATTTAATTTGCATAAAAAGTGGTAGAAAATTAATTCCGTTTTCTTTGTTAGTTTAGAACATCTGTAATCTTTATCTAACGTTTATTGATGTTTAAATTTAAATAAAAACAAGCTAAAATAATCTCTCGTTCTTTACTCAAACATATGCTAAATGGAGAGAGACTCAATTTTTTACTCAAATTAAAAGAGATTCAAATCTTGAATGATTAGATTTACTCTACTTTAAAAATTTAGTGGTCATTCTGTTTTATTTTTAATTTGGGATTGTCTTCTTTTAATTTTGAATGTTTTTTATTAGAGTGTTTTATATCAAATTAAGCTTTTTATTCAATTGTTTTACATCATTAAATTATTTGTAATTTTCAATGTTGAATAAAGCTCATTTTTAATCCAACAACAATAATTAATTAATTTTTTAGATTAAATTCCCAAATTAGGTTCAAATAATATTTTTTCTTACTTTAATCCAATAGTTATAGATGATCAGGGGCCTAAATTAAATGCAAAAAAAAATTTCCCGTCGAAATGGACTATATTCATTTTTTCTTCATACTATTCCATCTTTTTATTGGACGAAGTTTAGGTGTTTCATTAGAGTTATAGAAATTGTTGCCTTGATTGATTCTAATTTGAAAAAGGATTAATCTCAAATTATACCATCAAAGATAAAAATTTGCATCAATACGCACTTTAAACTAGCAACTGTCAATTTAATGTCTAAAATTAAATTGATAAATTATACTTAGACTATCTCATACTTATTACTTAATCATCTAGACCCCTCACATTTTTAATATTATATCTACATCTCTTGCGAATCTAAATATGACTAAAAATATTCCCCCAATTGGACATTTAAATAATTCTGTTTAAGTGATATATTGCAATGAATATAAAGAATATTATATAAATATATGCATTATATTAAACATTTAAATGATAAGTTTGATGTTGGACTTTAGAGTATAATGGACCTACAAAATAAAGGGTAGTATGAAATTATAATTTTTTATTAAGATGAAATTATTTTTTTAATAATTAAATTTACAGATATTAACGATGAGGGTTTATGTGTTACACGTGTACAAACGTTAGGAGGTATAAGAGTAATATTCTAAATGTGAGGGGTCTAAATGATTAAGTGACAAACATAAGAAGATCTATGTATAATTTATTCATTTAGTTTTAGGCAGCAAACTGACGGCTGTTAGTTTCAGGTGCGCATTGATATAAATTTATATCTTCGAAGATATAAATTAAAATTTTTTATATTTAAAGGTAAAAATTAAAATTTAAATGATTTCGGGGTAGAATTTGTAATTAATCTTTCGAAAAATCAGAAGATTCCAGCACCAACACCTTAAATATGCACAGATACCAGGAAACAAAGCGCAGACACCGCTCTCGGTCTCTAATCCTTTCATAGAGCTCCGATTTCCTACCAAAAATGGAGAAGATAAAGCACAAATACTTGGAAGTAAGGGGGCTCAAACTTCATTTCGCCGAGATCGGAGAAGGTACAGCCCAATCTTTCTTCTTCTTCTGTATTCTTTCCAACTTCCAGATCACTTCTACTGTTTAAAGCATTATATTGTGAAAATATTTATGCAGGTCCTGCTGTGGTGTTCCTACATGGATTCCCTGAGATATGGTATTCGTGGCGGTATCAAATGATTGCAGTAGCTAACGCTGGATTTCGAGCAATAGCTCCTGACTACAGGGGCTATGGTCTCTCTGAAAAGCCGGCAGAACCAGAGAAAGTAACATTCAGAGACCTTGTTGATGATCTACTTGTGCTCCTTGATTCACTTGGTATCCCCAAGGTATAAGTCCTTATATTCTATATACCGTAGCATTATACGATTTTTAGTTATAAGTCTCGTGGGCTTGATATAGAAAGTAAGTATACTAATATATGAGTAATTGATGGATGTGATGAGGTGATGACGATTGATGGATGTTCTATCACCAGCTTAAATCATTGAATTTAACAAAGAGGAAAGTACCAGGACTTTTAAACTAGAACAGTGCACAGTGTTTTTTGGTCATGAGAGAATTAAGGATTATAAATCATGGATCAAATGGTACAAATATCTACAAGCTTTTCTCTATATTTGGTGGAAGATCCTTGTGATCCTTTTGTGATGTTCCAATGAGATTATGTAAGCAATAATAGAAACTCTCGATTTCATCGAGGATGACTACATACATGCATGATCAGCTCATCTATTGTTCTGGTTATTGATTGTCCATGTGATTCTGCCAATGGAAAATTTTCAATTCATCTAAACCATGTAAAATTGGACTAATTCATCTGTAACGTCCAGGTTTTTCTTGTTGCCAAGGACTTTGGACCTCGACCAGCTTACCACTTTGCACTCCTTTATCCAGACAGGGTCTCAGCAGTTGTGACCCTAGGTGTACCATTCATGGTCACTGGTCCAGAAGGAATCTCTCTAGATACCCTCCCAAAAGGCTTCTATTTCTTGAGATGGCGGGTAAATTTTTATCATCGTGTTTACTGAATATTGATAAACTGCAAATTGTTTATCTTGATCTCCTACTTTCTTACTTGCTTATGCTCTTTTTCTCAGGAGCCAGTGAGAGCTGAAAAGGACTTTGGCCGCTTTGATGTCAAGACTGTGGTGAAAAACATATATATCCTCTTCACAAGAAGTGAATTACAAGTAGCTAGCGAGGATCAGGAGATAATGGACTTGGTTGATCCATCCACGCCGCTTCCCCCCTGGTTCACCGAGGAAGATCTTGAAAACTATGCAGCTCTATATGAGAAATCCGGTTTTCAAACTGCACTGCAGGTGCCATACAGGTATAACGACCATTATACCTTTCATTCAATTTTATGCAACATCAAACTTAAGTCAAAATGTATAATTTCAAAAACTCTGGTTAGCATTGATCCAATTAGCAAATCAACATTGCAACATGATATCAAAATGGGAAAACAAAATTTGAAACCTTGCAAGGGCAATGAAACCATTATGTTGAGGATTGGACTATGTCATCTCTATGTTTGACTGAAGGATTTTGAGGATTTGGGCAGGGGTTGGCTCGAAGACTATGGAGTTGAAGATCAGAAAGTGACAGTTCCGGCAATGCTGATCATGGGTGAAAAGGATTATGTATTAAAATTTGGGAGATTAGAGGAGTACATAAGGAGTGGTATAGTCAAAAAATATGTTCCTGATTTGGAGGTAGTGTTCATACCAGAGGGAAACCATTTCGTCCAAGAGCAGTTGCCTGACCAGGTGAACCAGCTCCTTATCACTTTCCTCAACAAGCACATTTGATCAATCACCCTGCTAATACTTTCCAAAGGATTGGGAGGCACTACCATTCTCAACTTCCTATGTATTAATGTGGTATATGGATTGAATTTCCTTTCTATGTTTTCCTTTTGAGTAGTCTTTGTATATTGAATAAGGAATGACTACAGTATCAAAAGAGGCGTTGTACAGAAAATTATTACTTTTAAAAGTTAAGTTACGGTTTTTTTACGGTCTCAAGTTATAATATTTTGTGATCGATCATGAAAAATAAAATTTTTAAAGGTCAAATTGCACCTTCTAGCCAATGTTATTTATGATCGAACACAACATTTGTGATCAAACAAGTGTTATGAGCGGTTATGTACAGTTATAGCTTATCATTTGTAAAATGAGACTCGGCATTTAGCAGTTGAATTTTTCAATATTCCTATTGAAAATTTTTTCCCAATAGTCTTCTCCTTATGGAGGACATTGGCTAAAAAAAGTAAAAAAAAAAAAAAGAAAAGGGTGAATTATATTTTTACCCCAGAAAAATTTAAAATTATCAATTTGTACCCTCAAATTATTAATTTTTCTACATTTCACTCTTAATGTATAAAATGATTATCATGCGATCATCACACTAACTTCCATTCTGTTGTCATTTCAATCAAAACTCACTGCATTTAGAGTGGGGACCATATAGTAAATTTGACGAAAAATTCCATCGAAGTTAGTGTGAGCCATGGAAAATAGACAATCATTAATATGAAGTCATGGTAATGACATAAAGAGAAGCATAGGCCATGTTTGGTTTGTAATTCGGAAACAATTTTTTGTTCTCAAAATTTTAAAAACACTTAAAATCTGTTTGTTTAGTATTTTTGTTCTCTAAATTTTGGAAAAAAAAATGAGATTTGAGTCAAAGAAACAGAAAATAAGTGTAGCTATAAGTGTATATACTTTTTTATATTTTTTTTATTAATGTTTAAATTACTGTTCAAATATATATTTGGGTTGTCCAAACAGGTTTTACTATTTTCTGTATTGTAAAATTATTTTTGAAATCATCTAACCAAACAAGTTTTTTATTTCAAAAAATATCAAAACAACTTTCTTAAAACTCTTTTCAAAGAAATTTTTCGAATACTATTTTTTGAAACGTAAACCAAAGCCCGTAATTTTTTTATATAAGACAAGCATCTTACCCAACCTGTTAGCCATGGAAAATAGAAAGGAATCAGTTTTGGATAAACCTTGGTAGAATTTTTATCCACGATGGAGACTGGCCATTGTCTGCACTAGGCTTTTCCTTGTCATATAAAGAAATTGTGTTTTACAAGGTGTAGGATCTCAAAATAATTAAGCACTCAAAAAATAATTTTACACACAAAGATTAAATCAAAGTTCTAAGAAAATAAAATAAGAAAGACAAAAAATGACTAACACATTGAAAAATCTCGAACGACAAAAAACTAAATTATTTGAAAGCCAAAAAGGCTTTTCCATTAACACACACCCCGAACTTCCACTACTAACATGACATAAAATTCTAACAATTTTAGTTCTAATAAAATACTTCTTATGGTGTGTGTAGCACAGTTGAGCAGTGCTCATGATCTTTAGGGATTAATGGGTTACTGAATGATTCATTCTAAACTTTTAGGCTCTCAAGATTTGAACAAGGAAGATGGGGAATGACACATTAAGTGTTTATAATAGTTCACCAGCTCCGAAGTTCGGCTAATCCACGTTAAAGGGAGTCTCTTGCTCTTGGGGCGATTTTATTGATAAAATGGGGAAGATTACACAGGTTATATGCTTAGGATAGTTGCTTGTCTCGTGTTGTGAGCTACATTATACTCTGTTTTAGCACAACTGGTAGCTACATTATACTTTGTTTTAGCGGTAGAAAAAGCAACAACTTGTTGTTTCTTCGAAAACTAGGAAAAAAATTCTAAACCAATTTAAAAACAATACCCTGAAGTATTCTTTGCTTTTTTCCACATGACCTCTCCAATTACTGTTTGTATGCCCTACAAGTTCATAAGAACTAGTAGGAGAATAAAAAATATCATCACATTGGGTACTTTTAACATACCTTAAAATCTGTTTTACTGCTTGCAAGTGGAATTGACGTAGAAACTCCATGTATCTGCTGATAAGACTAAATACAAAAATAATATCAAGTCTAGTGGAAGCCAAATAACGTAAACTTCCCACCAACCTTTTGAAATATGTGGGATTCACCAATTCATCATTCTCATCTTTATCCAATTTCAATCTTTCTTCAACCGGAGTCAAAATAGGATTGCAAGAATCCATTCTAAACCATTTAAGATATCTGATTAACCTCAATCCCAAGAAAATAAAACATCAAACCCATATTAGTTATCTCAAATTGAAAAATCATTGCCTCCCTAAATTTATCAATCAACTTTAGATTTTTCCCTGTGAAAATAAAATCATCCACATATTAACACAACAAATAATATCCCCTGTAAATTAGTTTTGACATACAAAGTGTGTTAATAAGGACATCTCTGAAAACTATTCTCAACAAAAAAAGAATCATCCAAGTGTACCAAGCTTTAGGGGCTTGTTTAAGACTATATAATGTCCTTTTCAACTTATAGACTTTGTTTTCCTCCCTTTTTATTCGCGTACCGATAAGCTACTCAACGTAAACTTACTCATTAAGGACACCATTCAAGAAAGTAGAAAGCAAAATTCACATCCATTCGAAAAATCTTCCAAGAATTATTAATAGCAAGAGAAATAATCATATAAATAGTATCAAGTCTGGCAATATAAAGCAAAAACATCAAGATAATAAATACCTTGTTTTTGTTTGTAATCCTTGGCTACTAATCTCACTTCGAAGCGATCCACCTCTCCGTTTGACTTGTATTTGGTCTTGTAACACCTATTTAACTCCAATGACTTTCTTTTCTTTGGGAAGAGAAATAAGATCTCATCTATTATTTTTCTCAATGACATGAATCTCTTCATCCATTACTTTCACCCAATGTTTCTCCCTACAGACTTCATTAGAAGAAACAATATCACAATCTGCATATAAACAAAATTTATCAAATCCTCACATGAAGGATCAC